CTGTGATTGAGTACTTCTAGAAATATACAGTAAAATATATAATCAGAGAAAAAGATTTTTCTTGAAATTATATAAAAATATGTGTACTAATAAATATACACAATGATCTATAAATTCAAATGCACTAGATTATTAATCCATAGAATATCTTCTATAAAAGTATATTATATAAAATATATCTTTTATAAAAATTGTCTTATTGTTAGTTACTTTCAAATAAATTTTTTTTGAAAATTTTCTAGAAAGAAAGTTCTAAAAGCTTACTAAGTTATCGTGAATCATTTTGTAATATTGCTGAGTATTATCAGGTAAGCTTTACTCTTTCAAGACAACAATATGACTCAAATAACTTTCCAAGAAACCGTTCGAGAAAGCTCTTGCGAGAATGGAAACGACGATTCTTGAGTGCATGTAGCAGATTGAAAAAGCGCTTGCCAGATTGCGTTACCTCTCGATCTCAGATTTTATGTACGAACGAAACATCGCAGAACATTTTGCTTATTTTTTCAAGATTCTCTTCTTATCCTTTCTTTTTGTATTTTTATTTTTGGCACGCGTGCCGATATTTATAATACCTTTGCTTCTATATTGCGTCATTTTTTAAATTCTTACTATCGCATGTACGCATCTGTTTATTTTTGTTCTTTTCTTCTCGAGTAACTGATTGCCTTAATAAACGCAGCGTTCTTTGAAACAGAGAATTTTGAAATAATTTTTCCCCGATAATACAAGAACGTAATAAAAACATTATTATGTTAACAATTAAATTTTCTAAAAAAAATAAAAAATAATTTGATACAAGTAGAATAAAACAGCAAAATTGATTGCTTCTATTTGATATTTAATAAACTTTTTTATGAAACAAACATCTTTGATATATTGAGTTAAACCAAGATTTTTTAAAAATTATAATTAGTTATTAATTTTTTTTAATTTTTAGAAATCTTAGATATTTAAGCAACTTTTTTCTTCTAAAATAAACAAGTTCAAATATTTTATGCAGTGCTGACTATTATAAAATTATTATAGTACTTAGTAACTATAATAATTTTATAATACTTTCCCAATTCTCTATCTTGTTCTCTCAATTAAATCTGGCAAGAAATCAACGTTCTGTGACGTAGATGTAACAGGTGGTCCAATTCGATTTACGACAAACCAGCTCGAACTATTGAATGCAACCATTTTCGTAGGACAAAGGCAAACGAGTTTACTGAAGATGTGGAAAAGAGAAAATGAGTTTGCTTACTTAAGAAGTTACTCGAACGGAAATAGTGTCTCTGTTCCACTTATATTCACCGTTCTACTTATACTCGCTTTTACAAAGATGGTAAACTTCCGATAAAATAGTGTCGGCTTTATCAAACTGGAAAATCAATTAAAAAACTCAATTAATATTTGTCAACTTAAAGAAGTAGCTGCGATTGACTTGCATTTCTACGCGTATAGAAATATGCATCTTTAGGAAACACAGAAACTGATGATTGAGTATTATAAATTCACATTAATTTAGAAGTTTAATTGTTAACAGAAATAAAAACAATTTCAAGTTAAAAAATACAAACTTTTCTTTTCCAGATCTTAGAGTATAATATGTTGACTAAGAATTGCTATATTTTGTATCAAGTAAATAAATCGCATTTATATCTTGCTTACAAATTAATTAACTATTTAATAATTATATGTATTTTTCAACATATTTCTATTATATTACTATTCCATCTTATTTATTGTTTCATTATATTTCTTATTTAGTAAAAAATAACAATAAATAAATAAAATTAAAGACTTCATGAATAGATAAAATATTTAAGTTTATTTTTAATTAAAGTTATCAATCAAATGCTTCGAAAATAAAAGAACATTCTAAAGAGAATTAAAAAAACAACTTTTTTAAGATATTAGTAGTTGTTTTGTACGCCAATACAAATTCTTCTGGCAGTAAAATCAACTTGATTAATGAGAAAAGCTCCGCGACGGCTGATCTGTCGAATCACATGTATGTATAAATAATTGCATACGTAACGTGTGATTGGTGCAAATATGCATATCTGAACACAATTTTGATGGAAATACAATAATGCATTTTTGAGTCACATCCTAGAGAGTTCCGATAATGGCATGCATATTTAGCCGTGTATTATTAGTACTTAAAAAAATCTCAAACGTAGAAAAAAGTGATAATATTATGTATTAAAAAGAAATAAAAAGAATTATCTTCTAGATAAAAAATTTTAGATATTTTTATCATATATAACATGCTGCTCTTGTGACATTTCTTGCTAACCATAATCATAATCATTTTGTTTTGTTAAGTATTAAAATAAGTATTAACTAAGTATCAATTAAATATTAATGTAATGTATAAAATATCATATATCAAAGTGTTGGTATATTAAATAAATCTAATTTCGACAAAAGAGCTCGGATTATACGCGAATCGAACTCTATACATGTAGTTTAATGAAACCGTGTTTTCAATTATGAAACAAAAGGAAGAGTCGCTAACTCAAATTGATCGCATTAGACTTAGTTTGCTTTGCCATCAAACTACTTGTATCGAGTGAAACGGTGGCAGATAGCACTGCGTGGAAATTTGAGGGACTGTTTATTCCTATAGGTCAAAACCATCGCGCCGCTGATATATCCTCCTAAACCATCATCTTTGCCCGGCAGGCACGTTCCGCTCTTAAACGATAACTTTCTGCGAATGATTAACAACCAACCAAGCAAATGATTTGATCTGAGTGAAATCCGTGAAACAAGAGAATGTATACATTTTAACGTGAATTCAAACTTTGTATGCTGCGTTTCATTTCCGCTGTAAGAGCGATTAGAGAGAAAATTTTGGATGGAATTGCACGAACATGATGTAAAAGCAATCGGATAGAGTATCAAGTACTGTGACTATTGCATCTATACATACATTTATCTTGTTTTAATAGTATTAAATTTCGATGACAGATTTTTCGATCAAGTTGGAATTGATGTTTCACATAAAAAAAAAAGAGAAAAGCTAATAAAAATATAATAAAATCTATTTATCAACTTTTTGATATTCAATTTTTATACGTGGCTGGCTGTACAAAAATTAACACAATTAAAATTTTATCGAGGAAACAAATATCAACAAGCCCATCAAAAAGAATTGCAATACTGTTCGACTAATTCTGTTTGATGCAATAATATTTTTGTAATATCATAATCTTCCATGGAGCTAATCAACTTTTAATCGATGTTATCTTAGGGATTACACTAACTCGGTGGTGACATCGAATTGCTGCAAGGTAAAATTTGCTAGTGCCGGTTGACGATCGATTTTTCCGGACGTATAACCGGGTCGACCCGGCTGCTATGTGTGTGAAGTATGCGCGTGAATGTGTGAGTGTATGAAATTACCGAAGGTACCACGCATTCGTCTGTATTCACGCCAGGACACATTATTATCAAGCGCGACTTTAGACGGACGTATGTAAATGACTTTCACGCGCGATCATTGGCTCATCGTACTCGAGTTAGATTCCCGTGGTAGAGCCGTCGGTCGACGTCACAGTTATAGCTTACTCTATTTTCGCTTATCTCGAGTCCACCACGGTCTTCTCCTCTGCCGAATCTCTTTCTCACTCATGTATTTCTGGCTTGACTTCTCGCGAAGTACGCACACGCCGCAGAATCGCGAGGAAACACACAGTTCGAAGTACTTCGATTAAATTTATTTTTGTTTTTGTTCTTCGCTTGTGTAAATTGTCCGCGATTCCAGAAAGAACCGCCCGACAGTTCAGAAATAAATTTCACGATACTTAGTTTTCAAATAATATCACAAAGTTTGTGTATTTCAGATTTTCTAAAAGATTGAATATAAGAAAATAAAGTGGATAAAAAGAATGATGGTTGTTTTGACATTAACATATTCATAATTTTTTTTGTGTCATCAAACATATTTATACCTTCAATTTGTTTCAAATAAACTTTATCGGATCAAGATTTGAAGCTTAGAAGCGTAGTTAATGTTCAAAAATTTTAAATATGTAAAAAAAAAAAGATTAAATAATTCCTTAATCTTTCTCGCCTGATCACACGAAAAGTTTTAGACTTTAAAGTTCAGAAAATACGTATTTTCTAAGACACCCCATCCTGGAAATATGACCCTACTGTGAATTTATATTACCCTTATTTAGATAAACATTGATGTATTTCATTACCATTAATATGACATAACATACTTCATGAATATAAAACACGGATAATCTTTTGTATAAAATAATCGTTATTTTTAAAATAATGATGTTTAACCACGTAAAAGTCATGAAGAAAATATTGTTAAATTCATGAAATACCGCAAAATAGCTTTAATCGGTAATCGATTCGTCCAAAACTCTTCGCCGCCACGAAACTATCGAAAAATTCAACAGTTGCTTTGCCCACGTAGTTACCGATACTTTCGTGATAAATCGAGAATGCTTGCACAATGATGAGAGCTGTCAATAATTCGTGCTACAAAAGAGCGTGTACACGTTTAACAAGTTTTTCATCGCTTTCGCCGTTAAGCAAACGTCGATGGTTTATAAAGTGTTCGGGAAACTACAACGATAGAGTGCAGAATTTGGAAAATATTTAAAGATAAAAAATTCAGTATAAAACTCTCTAAAAATATTTCAGATATTAAATATCGTAAAATCCAGCAGCTTAAAATAAAGTGCACAGACAGCCTACGCATAGTACGTAGATCAAGAGCTAAGATCTCGCTTAGATTTAAAGATCGTAAAAGTTTGCTTGTTAAAAAATTGAGAAACTAAAATGTAACGCTTATAATCTTCTTCCGCGAGAAGCTACAAATGTAAAAACGCGATAGTCTACATTTAAAAACATCTATTCCAAGAATTTAAGATTAAAAAAAGTTTTAAGATTCTATTAGATTTAAATATGTACTTCTCACATTTTCGTAACAAGCAAAATTGTTTTCTACGATTTCGTTTACAGGTAAAAGAATGATTTCTGACCTTTGCTGGTGAGACTGAAGCTACGGAGTCTATAACTATCCTCATCTTCGCCATCCTCCCGCGGTGGCATCTGAGACGAGACATCGGGCACATCCAGAAAGGCGTTGCTCTTCCTATGATGCGTGTGATGCATGCTCTGCCCTCGTCGGCTACCTCGTCTCCTGATTCCTGGACTGATGTCATTCTCGGTCAATTTCGGCTCGCTACTGCAGTGGGCCGACTTCATGGTTCCCTCGTGATGATGGTGATGATGATGGGCAGCAGCTGAAATCGAAGAGAGCACTACTTTTATATAAGCTCGATATACAAACTTGGCTAAAAGCCATAGTCAATATCAATCATGTGTATCAATGTCAATTGATATCAAAGGCAATAGATGAAACTAGTCATCCTTTCAACTGTTGCGCTAAACTTTTTGTATTGCAGTGCGTAAAAAGTATTGTAAAAAGCACTGCAAAAAGTATTTCAATATAATTATTAACAAAGAGTATTAAAAACAGAATGTAAAAATTTACTGTGCCGTTTAATATGTAAAGCTATGCAAACAATATGGAAATCCTGTAAGCTCTTTTAATTATATTATTTACCATTATTCCTGATTCTTTGTTTCTCTTTTATTTGTACATGCGTTTTATTGCAGTTTAAAATAATCACTGCGTAGAGAGCATTTCCCTTTGTCATTTCATTAAGAAAAAATTTAATTTTTGCTGAAATATATTTTTGATATTCGGCTTTGATATGCTGCAATGTCACGAAAATATATGGATTTTACAATAGAATGTGTGTGTTTAAGTAACACATAAAATTGTTAGGAAAAAAATTCTTTAACCAATCAATAGAGCAATCATTGGAGCAGAACAAATGCGTTCCTTTTCAACTTCGTGTCGATCGAGTGTTTTTTTTTTTCAGCAAAGAAGAGTAAAGCAAAGAACGGAGCATTTTTCAAAGGTACTACACCAATTACATCGCAAAACCGGCGCGTGGAAAGCCGAGTGATTTAGTACAAGTCTTGAGAGTTGTCGGGAAATGAAACTAAATGATGCGAAAAGGGAAAGAGAAGCAGGCTCAGATAGCTTAACACATTTTCGAATATTTGCTTTGCTTAATCGCAAAGTTTATCAAGCGAATAAATTCCCCTATTTCACCATACATATTCATCCACTTCAAGAAAACAAAATCTCTCATTTAAATGCAATCGCGATTGAATGAACTTTAAAACCGGAATTAATTCTACATTTATAACAAGAAACATAATATTACATGTTAATTGCACATATAATAACAAACAATATTAAAATAATAAATTAAAATATTATATTAAGATATTATAATAGAATAGGAACACGGCTTAGAAATATTTAATCATTGACTTTATAATATTTTATTACATTGCATAACAATTGCGTTCGAAATTAATAGTATAATACGCAATTAAATTAGTAAGATAACGTTTATATGACAAAATAATTTTTTACAATATATATATTACGTGGAATTGCAAGTAATTTATTTCTAAAAAATATCAAGAAGTAAAAAAATATTATTATTTTAATAAAAAACTTTATTGCTTAATTGGGTATCCATTTACCGAATAAGAAATACCAACTAAGTTCTATTACCTCGGCATATTATACTGAAATTTTACCCGTGTAAACTTTAATTAAAATCCGCGTCTTGGTTGCATTACATTTACGTACAAGTATAACAAATTACTCTCCTAAATATTCTTGTTCTTTGTTAAAACGTCTCCGTGTCTCCGGAGTTTTAAATGTACAGCGAAAGCACTATGCTGCGCAAATCTGGCGACACGGGGCGAGTTTCTAAACTAGTAGTGACACGGTGGCATACGACGACATGTTTGGACTGTCAGTGACCTACTAGCCAAATCCACGTACAAGAATAGCAGCCGCAATAATTTCAAGAACTCTTGTGAGACTAAAGCGGCGTGTTACCAGTGCAATATCGTAAGCTTCGGAGTACACTTTGCTCTTTCACCGGGAGAGATCGTACGTCACCGGTGACGTTTCCACGAGTTTATCGGGTAATGTCGAAGTCATGCCCGTCACTCTGCCACGTAATCCTGTCGCGTAAAATAGACCTTTATGTACCTCGAGATTCAATCTCGGCCAAAAATGTTTGTATCTTCATCATTAGGGAAAAGTTCAACACGCAAACAATCATTTGACATTTCAAACCTTCAAATACTTAGTTATATATTTCCAATTAAAAACTTTCTAAGAAAAAAAGTGAGTCATTGGCATAGATAAACTAGCCGATAAATTACAGAATATCTTAAAAATTCAAAAGAGAAATTAAACTTGTCAACCGTAAAATAATTATGATTTACAAATTTCAAAATCTTTAAATGCATAAATTTTTAAATCCTTTTCAAAGATTCACGAATTCTAATTAGGTCACATTCAATTCTCACGCAAGATCCCACGCATCGTTACCTTATCCCCATTTCAGCCATTACTATCATTACCTTGGGCGGCAGCACGGCGACGGATGCTTTTATTTCCGCCGGAAACACGGGCGCTCTGGGATCTCGTAGCTGGTCTGCGTCTTCTCGTGGGTGTACTACTATCTGGTGTTCCACTGCCGCTGTCCCTTTCCCGTTCTCCTCTCTCCCTTTCGCGGGCTCCCGAGGGTGGCATAGCCTCCAGCATTTGTTCCATACTGGAAAATCCCGGAGCACAAATCGAAGCCGATCTGGTTTTCCGGCGAAGCGAGTCTTCTGCCATCCTTTCAAATTATCACAGCTACCACTGTATCTTCTCGTCACTAATCACGACCCGGCGCTTTCGCCTTTTAATGACGATTATCTTCTAATTATATATTCTCCGGGTTTCCCGCTAATTTCTTCCTTTTCCACGAATTATTCTCTGTAGCTTTGTAAAGTCTATATCTCACTTATTGATCACAAAGTACAACGATATGTGGGCATTGTTTTTATCGCAATTTTTGCATTTTTTAAATGCTAGACACGAGTGTGTGCGTGTATTAGTAGAAGCATTTATTCATAAAATTTATTTTTATCTTGAAAATGTCGCACCATGTGTGATTTCCGGAATGTCTCTTCAAGCGACTCAAAACTATGGTTTGTATGACGCGATTATCAGTAAAGTCGCTAAAGATATACGAGATATCCTTGAATATGAGAACGCCACGAATCCGATATCACGTCGACAAATCCTGCGTCGTTCCAAAGTAAACCCTTGCACTTTTCTTCATTCTACAAATAAAATATAAAATGGTTGATATTTTTTGGTCACGTATGTATGAATAATTACAGCCACGGCAAATAGCGTTTTCCCTAAATTGGTGGAACAATCGTGCGTTTATCGTGTTTCTTTTTTGTGCCCATTTTCTTTTTTACATCTTTCCTATCGTTATTCTGCCGGAAATTTGCTCGCATGTTAATTAGACCCACCCTGTCAATTAATATCTCCATTACTTCGTCGCCGCAAACGCGTCTTCGAAAGCGGATATAAACTTATAAATGTCATGCAATATTTCTTAGCATCAATATTCTGAATATTTAATTATTCTGAATTGTTTAAAATAAATATTTTATTTAAACTAACATTGACTAGAAGTAATATTAAAAGTAAAGCAAATCTAGTTTTTAATAAAATATTTTATTAACGTTAAATAAATGAATTTTTTTTTCACAAGTTAAAAACGTTAAATAATTTAAATATGAATTTGCGTTTCAGTTTTAGCACTGTTTGAGCGACTGCTTGATTCAATAGAACTAGATTGTGAAATATTAATGATTAGAAATGTATCTTGCTTTCTGATTAAGTAGAATAAACATTGGTGACTATGTCAAGTGTATAGTTGGCAGCATCTGAAGTTTCACGAAACCCGACGAAAGACAACTCGGTGGGTTGTCGAAGCTGTCGAAGTTGGCGAACAGTGAGCGCGATACAGCTGAAAGATATCGGTGCGCGAAGGCGTTCCGGCAACTATAATCGAGTATTGACAAAGGAAAGCTCAGTCTGAACCAACACAATTTCACAACGCCTTATTAACGTACTCTCTTCGATAGAGTTTGTTCTTGTCACGTAATAATTTACTTTTAAACTATAAGAGAATGCGAAGGAAATTAAATCGCTTGTTTCTAAATATAATTAAATTTTTATTCCAATAATTTTATGGTTGCATTATTTAATTTTATGGATTAATATACAGTTGAATTATACATATATTATATATATTTTTTTAATGAAATCTTATTTAAAGTATTAAATTGTATATATTAATACTTAAAAAGTATCACCTTATTTTTTCTCTCGTGTAAAAGTTAAAATATAACTATAACTCTACACACATGACATTATTTTGCACTGTCTTCTTCCTCTCTTTGTTTAAAAGATAATATTTCTTTTCTTTTCTTTCAGTTTACACTTGTTAATATATTTAAATAAGAAAAATTTAAATTCTTTGGAACACAAAGAATGATAATAAAAATATATAATATAACAGAATTATTTTACGATGTATTCTTTATTAATTAAACTGTTTGCATGTTATAAGAACAAAATAAGAGATATTCTACATATAAAATTTATTCTGTTATTATCATAACGCAAAAACCGCGAGTTCTTGCATGGCATAAAATAAAAATGACAAAGAAATTTCTTCAACAAATGTGTGATGTTGCAAAGAACTTTATTTAAAATACTTCCCTTACAAGGTATCTCTTCTGTGAAACAATATATGCACGCGAGGACGCGTTTATCAGAGATAGACCGTAGGATTAAGTAGAGGAAGTGAAGCTTTATCTCCTCTTATTGACAAGCGTAAGAAAAGGTCTCACATACGAGGTTCCTCATCGATATTATGTGTTAAATCGATAGCTGTAAGTGCTCTATGTATTCACGCAACATTACATTATGACATCAATATTACGAAATGTCATAAAAAAGCATCGTTGCAAAAATTACATGCTGCCCTTATAAAGCCGTAATATTTTTACTGTTCTTATGTAATTGTTACTTTAACTACAGTTATTACTATGTAATAATCGAGATTTTAAAGTTGATATTGCAAGGAATTAAATGATCCAATGCATTTTCCTATCTCTCATACAATGGTAATCGTTTTGTGTATTATTGAATCGCAATTATTTTTGTATGCAATGCCGTGAAACATTAAAATTAAATCACTCTTATGCTTTTAATAATCTCTATTTAGCTCTACAATTTCTTGAATTATCGTATATTAAAATCTAGTTTGGATATACAATAAATTTCACGCACGAGTCTCAAAATAGCCAAAATGTATTGGTCTATAATTAGTGACCTGCTTTCTATTAGCATCATCGTGACTGAGGTAAACTATTTTTTTAAAAAGTATTTTTTACCTGTTTTTCTTAAAATATTAAATCCTATTTCTAACTAATGAATTATTTCTTTTAAGTAACATTTTTTAAAATTACAATTACGTGAATTTAAGATAAAGAATATTACTTTTGTTAATATTTAGTAGAAAAAAAATTAAAAAATAATTAAAAAAGATTTTGTCTATAGAAATAGCGTGATTACTAGAATGATTAAATTTAATTAAGATTTAATTTAATTAAATTCAGCTTAAATTAGATTAAATTTAATAATATATTATTCAATATATAATATTTACCTTTTTAAATTTTTTTTCATAAAATAATGTATTTTAATTTGCAATTATTAAATCAAGCACATCTAACATATATTTTGTAATAATTATTTGTCGGTTAAAGCTCTAGTGACCAGTATTTCTTTATTCAATTACTCAATGTTATCAACTTACCACGGAAGGGTTAAGGGCAAAATAGCAAGACACCGTGCGCCCTTCGAGATTTTCAAAGTCGGAGCATCGGTTTTTTTTCTACGCGATAATTACTCTACTCTCTCTCTCTCTCTCTTCTCTCTCTCTCTCTCTCCCCCTCTTCGTCAACTTATTTTTTTCTCCGATGATTAATTATAGAGCGTTTTACATAAATCTTCTAGAGGAGATGCATAAACATCTCAACCGATCTATCCCCTTGCACATTCGCCTCCGCGTCTCACTCCCCTAAGAGCTTTGCCGCGACTGTAATTATCCCTCTTTTTCGATACTCGGCAACCTCTGCCCTTTAACTACGATTATATCGAGAAATGATTCACGCGCTTTTCACTCTTTTTCTCTTTCTCTCGAAAAATCGCTCCGAAATATCGCGGTGTCTCATCCGCCTCATCCGAATTAATTATCTCTCCAGATCGATTTGCCGCGTACAGTGATCGATCCTTACCACTTTAGGCCGTCAGCGACCGTGGAATCTCTTCTCGTCATTTTCTACTTCGATTTTCTCCGCAATTACGACCTCGAATCACATGTCTCAATCGCTTATACGCGAGCGCGTCCCGACGACACGACGCACGTCCGACAATGCGCGGCACACTGAAAGCAGCCCGGCGTCGTGGCGGCCGCTAGAGCGAGAAGCGACGCGGCGACGCCAGGCGTCGGCGTCAGTCCTCTCACACGCCCTCGTCACCAACCACGACCACGACGAAGAGGACGATGACGATGACGACAACGACGACGAAGAAGTTGGCGCACATCCAACTCTGAATGCTCCAGCTTTTCAACACAATTCACCAAACGCAAAGGCGTTTCGCGGGGAATCACCGGAAATGGCAGAATCCAGATGTAGCGAAGAACTGTTGATAATACTTGTCAATACGTTAATTATTTAACCTCAATTTAAGCAATATATTTATGTCGTTAAGTTCAAAATGAGATCTATTTAAAATCATAAGTTCCAGTTTTGTCTTAACATCTAGGTATGTAAAATTTTTGTTTATTAAACAATGTCTTTTAAAAATTTTAAATTTGTATAAGACAAAAATTCACATGTCTAATTTAGTATATCTTATTAAAATCAGTCTTATATTATAATTAGTTTTATTTGTACCTTTTTGTGAATTTTATTGTTTTCTTTACATCCTTTATTTTAATAAAATGTCATATTTTCTATCAAATTGAAATTTGAAGCTTGCAGACGAAATTCCATTATAATGGCACTCGACAAATGTAATATTATATTATGCATAGAAAAATGACAAAAGATATGTTTTTAAAAGAACAAAATTTCTAATTTTCCGTCTAAGAAAATTTTTTATATTTTGTAAATGACATGTGATGTAATAGATTTTATGAGAACTTCATCTTCATTAGATCGCTAGCACTAATTTCGCATAACTTTCAACTATTTCGCAAAAAAAGTCATTACTTTACTTCATCACTTTTGTAAATATATTTAAAATAATATTTTCTTAGTTATTATTTTAGAAATTTAAACAATACAGATATTTAAAACAGAATTCTATTTTATTTCTATTCTATACGCGTTCTATTCTATTTTAATTTTAAATAATTTCTTATTAACCTGGAATAAATGTTCAAAAGATATCTATAAAAAGATTATTATTAGCATTGATTACGTAGTACAGTCAGAATGAACTACTGATGTAATATTTATGTACTGCGTAATTTTTTTCAGATTTAATAAAATGAACAAGCTAGCAATCAATTAAATTTCTGATAAGATAATAAATTTAATGTAATACAAGATAAGATAAATCCTTTTAACGTTACTTCAATAGTATCGATCGAATCGTTTAATATTTTGCGTTTTATTTTCTACATAAAATAAAATAATTTTGTATATATATATATATATATATATAAATTAAAAGCATTATTTTGAGCAACAAATAACTGAAATAACTTATTATTATTAAATCACTACATTTGCTGCATCACTATCTGTAAGCTGATCCAAGTAACACGTCATAAAATTTGTTCTTAAGCACCAACCTGTTTAAATTCTGATAATAAGTGTTGAAATCAGCGCAAACTAGCTCATGTGATTTCATTCTCAAGAGAACTATTACGAAGTAATACAATTTTAAATCGTTTCGGAAAAGTCATCCTGACATCTTGGCACTGTATCTTGTTTGAAGAAACCCCTTGATATTTGCTTTATATAAACTAACTACTTGCTTAAATAATTCCTGGTTTATTTTACATAGTCAGTATACTTCATTGCGAAAAGTGCTGCATCACTATTCCAATGAAACGAGCCGCTAATTTAATAAAACAAGTATAAGCTTTAAGAGAGAATTTCTCAAGATTTGCAAATTAAAATTTTAATTTGGTTTTAAAAATTTCATTGACGATGAATATACTATCTAATATAATTTAAGATAAAATAGCTAAAGAGATTGAATAGATAATCCTAGATAATTTACACATGGCTTAAGTTTTATCGCACATGTTGCCTTACAATATATTCGTGTGTCATAATAGAAGGAAGATTCCTAGAAGATACATGTGCTTTTCAACAAACAAAAATAGAATTCTAAATTACGACATTAATTATTGGTTCAAGAAGAGGATATCGGCTGAAAAACTAACAAACTATAAGAAAATAGTTTCGCAACTTTTCTCATCGAAAAGAGAGCTCTTATATAATTTCATTAATCCAATAAAAAAGTGTGGTCTTATATTTGTTCTTACTTTCTATATTTTGCTTTAATATATTCATGTTGCAGCTTTTCGATTTTGATTTGCTGATCTGAGAATGAGACACTCTGGTGACATGGAACTCATTTAAAACATTAAATTTTCTAAATCGAGTTCTTCGTCAATGATAATTATATTCGGCACAAGAGGAAAAAGAATAATAGCACCATCTGTAACAAGACATGGAAAAATATTTGTGTAACATAAAAATGTGAATTTTTGTTGAGTCGCTGGATATGAAATATAAAAGCGTTTTGCGTGGTTGCCGTACAATGTCATTATAACCATTCGTAAAATTTGTCCCTAATGCGGAACACATTATTTATCGATGCCGAGTTCTCCTCATCCCGTCTCGTTTCGTTCGTCCAACGTTAGACTAAACGGTGCACGCGATGTATTTTTGACTTGTGGTAGTTTAAAGCTATTTCAAGATGAAGCCAAGTCAACCTTTTGCATCATCACGATTTCTCGCTTTTACTTTCACCTTTAATTTTTTTTATTTTTTAATATCTTTTCCTTTTTCCATCTCAGGAAATGTTTTTTTTCTCTTGAGTGAGCTTTCAAACCGTTTATTCTACGATGATGACTCAATGTTGAATACTTTCTCGGTATAAGCATCGCATGACTGCTCCTAATGTATCAGAAATAGACTTTGAAATACAAGAGAAAGTCTATGAGAATGGTCGAATAATTCGCATAAAAGTTCTTGGAAGTCAAAGAGAGGTAGTCGTTGATTTTTAATACGATTGAGCTGATATACACTTAAATAAGATTATAAATTTCAAACAGTTTCTCGCTTATAAGTATAAAGTAGCAGAGAAATTTATTCAATATTGTCCGCAATAATATTCCGCGATATTTATTGCCATCGTTTTTTTATTATATCGAAAAATAAGTTAATAATTGAGTTTAAAGATAAATTTTTATTTATATGTAAACTATATCTCAAGATTTTAATATAAAAGTTTTAAAATAATTTGTAATTAATTTTTTTTTTGCTTTTGACACTTTACTCGAAACCACTTTTATGAGACTTGCATTGTTTTATATTTCAAAACTATATTACATAATAATTGCGTGAATATCACCAGTGCGTGTGCACAAAGGGGTTGCTCAAGATAAACAATATTCCTTTATGGGTCAACTGGCTAATCTATATGATGATTCTACACGCGCAATGCAATCGTGGTGCGCCACATTCGAAATTAGGCATTCCTAATTGCAAATGCCATCCGGTGCGTATGGTCGCTTCAAATTCCGTTTCGGCCTAAATATCACCTTTACAATTTCTTGAAGTTGACATTATACATTGGAAAAATACATAATATATTGGACAAAAATGCATACAGGAAAATGCAAATAAAATGTGAAAAAATGTTTTACAAAGTAAATTTGCTGACAAAGAGTTAATTATTTGGTTAACAGAAAAGTAAAATATAAATACGTGTTAAAAAAGCACGTTTATAATTTATTGCGTGTATTTGTTCATTATTTCAATATCAAGTGATAAACATTTCCATCAAAGTTTTTGGCAGTTTTGATGAAAGCTGTGTTTAGCTTGACGTGCGCTCAATTGGAATGGAGATTGCTTGTTATTAATAAATAATTGTGTAGCGGTATACTACATATAATCTTTATATGCTGTACCGTATATCGCTAATAATTACGAAATTACTGATAACTAAGTTATATTAAATTTCTAATTTATTTGCCGAATGTTAGTATGTTATATTGACAAATATCGGCAAATGTTTCATATTTTACAAATGGTACGATACCAACTAATAGTATAACAAAATTTTATGCAAAGTATTTTGTACAAATTTGAAAAAAGGTTTTCCAAAGTAAATGTACATGCAACAATTTAATATGTTACAATTAATAATTAATTATTTTTTTATATTAAATGATACATTACATCTTTATTGCAGCTCTCTCCAATTCCTACTCATGGGAACCCATTGATTTAGTGATAACGCATGTGCATAGCCAGACGAATCCAGACATATATATATATGCGTACAAAGCTATACCTCTTCATCGGAATATTGTGCGCTGGAATAGTTGGTTACGGCTTTATCAAGTGATAAGGTAAAAACGGCAGTGCTATTCCTGATAAAACGCCTGATTCTAAGATAAAGAGACCAACTGATAAGATACAAAATCATTTTCAGTATAAATGTAGGTATCTTTCTTTTCGTTTGATGGAATTGTCAATTTCTTGAAATTTTTATTTTCAATACATATCGGCAAAATATTAAAATAGGAAAGATAGAGATACATATTTGACGCTTTTGAAATGCAGTTGAACTTATTATTTAATCTTGCTATTAGTATAAGATTTATAATGCAAACTAATTTGTAAAATTTTTTATTGCGTATCTGAAATTATTCAAATAATCTTATAAGAAAGAAAACAATCTATCTCGAAAAATGAAACAAAACTGTCAAGACAAAAAAAAGTCTTTACAATATTTGTAACTTATAAATAATTTTATCTTATTAAGCGCATAGTTACAAAAAACATGTATGTGATACAATTATTAATCGGAAAATCAAATTGACTTTTAATCGCGAAAAGCAATAGATACGACTTCTTGTTATTTGTACCACAATATATGTTTTTATTTTATTTTTGTGGACACCTACTAAATTTTACACAGGTATTCACTTAACGGCTAAGATTCTTGTCCTTCATTTAAATATGTAATTTAATGTTACATCGTGTGCCTAGGTGCTAACATTGAAGCTAAAGCTACGGTTGCTTAATTTAATTGTATACTTATGTGCTTAATTGCCGACTGTGTGCTTATTTCGTTGCCAAGATCAATTGATTCTCGCCTTCGGCGAAAACAGCTTACCGAGTTGCATGATTTTCTCCGCAGTGAAGTCGAAACGGCGTGCTCCCCGACAGTGGCAATGTCGAATCAATTGATCGGCGAGTCGTACTTTAGCATTGTTAACTTGCTGATTGTATCATGATTATTAGCTTAACTTTGCGTTCATCATATTTACAATTCAAGTTTTGCAGTTCAGTTATATACTTTATAAAACGTAGTAGGAACTTTGGTTTCGCTGGGCAATGTTTCAGGAGCAGTTTCCTCTTATTAATTTGTGACTTTATCTCGTGACCTGACACGGCTTTTTAGGGGTGTTTTTTTTTTTTTTTATTATTTACGGTCATGAAGTAACTACCCGTTCTTATTTAGTCTATCTTTAATTTACGAAAATCACCGGATAAGACGAGCAATTCAGCTGGAAACTGCTATAAAACATTCGCCCGTGGATTTATCTTCCTTAGAAATATGACACCCACGAATACAATTCACATTTTTTTGTAATACTCATGTTTATATTTTCATAAGGTTCTCTATTTGAATATTTCAGTTTCACGAAGAAAATACACATGATTCGAAAACTGTCTCCGCGTTTTTATTTTTATCACCGCTGCGCGTCTTCCGACGCTCTGCTCTTTTTATTCTCCTTTTTTTTCTTCTCTCGCTCTCACTCTTTTTCTCTCTCTCTCTTTCTCTCATATAACAAAATTTAATAACCGGAATATTTCTGTACAAACGTTTTCGCTTTTTTATCAAAAAGGATAACATACATATCCCACCCCTTAATCAAAATTTTGAATTTTGAATTTTACTCCATTGCCTATCTTTTCTCCAACTCCCCTACTCGTATCTTTCACCCTCTCTCTCTTATTCGTATATTACAACATTTTAGGAACAGATCACTTTGCTCTTCTCAGGCTTAAAAGTAAAACCTTAAAATACTTTTTACTTTTAGAAATTTATTACTTTTTAACCATGTAAATTTTCTTTGCATGAATTCAGCTATTTTATAGCGCTATGATAATAAAAGTTAATTATAATATTACAATGTCTAAGTATATCGTAATATGTACAGGCTACCTTTGCACCCCTAACTACGCGTCACGTTAGAGATTTCATATTATTGTAGCGAATAATCCATTATAAAGAGGATAAAGTACATTTTATGCACAATCTTACCCATTCAATGTACTCGTTTGCTAAATATTAAGAAAACCGTATTTTATGGGCTTTATTTAAATATTCTCTTACGCGGGAAAACCACTGCGATCGCTTGCTGCTAAATGACTGCGTCAACATAATGCGTGTCTAGCAACGCATGCAAATCAATCGTCTAAGAGTCAATACGATGGATAGAATAATTTTAGATGGCCATGTTAATGCATTTATTTGTGATTATAATTTCTTTGTCGAGACGGATACAATAATACATAAATAACTCTTCGATCTCAAAACCACGCATCTGTAATATTTTCCGCTGTATTCATTTACGCTCGAAGGAGTACGCGAATAGAATTATTCGATTCATAGTTTTTCTTCCTTTTGAGCAGCTACAAATACACCTTATAAAATTACAATAGGAATTGGATGAGATACAGAAGCATATCTTGATACCGAAGAATTATGATCGTGGAATATCCCGCAGCTAAGAATCGAGCTCTAGTAAAATTGAAGTTTTCGTCCGAGCTACATTGTTATTCAGCGAATAAGCGGATCGCATATATGTATAGGAACGGAGGATGCGTGCTCGTTTAACACGTATACGTCTTATATGGCAGATTATTACGGACTAGTTTTGCAGAAACTCGAATCTCGCCTGTCTCTAACCGTCTCTTTCCTACAGGATTAAATACAACTTCAGGAGCGTTGGTAGTGTGGCATGTGGTACATAATCGTTTATAGCATACTTTCAAAGACGTTATTGCGTTATTTAATCACTAAAGGAATTTCATTGATTTCTAAATACACGTGTAATTTACAGACCTCGCGCGCACTAAAAACTCTTGATTGACCTGTTTCGTGCGGAAACTATGAAAATATTATTGTACTCCTTCTAATTGTGTACTGTGTATATATGCAAAGAATAATGCCGTAATCAATAGGGAACTTTTGCATTTGTTATTTAAGCGATATTTTTATTTGCATAATTTAACGACGTGAGACAATAATATTTCAGAATTTTCACCCAAACTCAATCACAGTTCTTAGTGCGCGTAAAAGATTACGCCCTTCAAGTTTTTCGATTTTTAGTGCATTTTCGATTGCAACGTCAATTGATTATGTATCAATCACATGTAATTGTTCAAAGTTCGTCGCTTACGTACTAACTTTTTCGTCAATAATCATTTTAAAGGTAGCTAAATTTTTATTAATTATTATCTGTGCGACGATTTGCATACCTTTCCGCCTGGTTTGAATCGATCAGATTCCGACAAACATACATGTCCCGATTTTAGAATGAAGCAACTCCAATTAATTAGAGAAGTCGGAAAGTGGTTTTTTTGTCGTTGCTTGATAAACGGTTCACAGTAATTTCGATCGTCGAGGCATTTACGTCCGTCGGTTCGTTGATGCTTACCAATTGCCGCTAACTTGTCCGTTCAAAACTTGAAACTGGATCAGCTAATCAGTGTTCTCCAGTAGATATATATATCTATGAAAATTGGAAGCGCGCGACGGATTGGTACCAAATGAGAAACAACGATTTTAGATTATCAGTTCTCGATATTCGACTCATGTATACATCACATATTCGTAGATTAAAGCTATTTACATATAGATGTCGTATACACCTGCGATCACAATATTCGAAGAACTTTGCTTCGATCTAGAACGATCTTTCCGCACCGGATTAAATTTCATAATAACTGCGATTTTTTTTTTTTAATTAATCTCTCTTTCAAACGCTTTTTTTTCGTATTCCGACATAGAATTATGGAAATCTCGTTCTCGCGACGCTGTTTATTTATGCTAAGAGAAACGCGAAATTTGAAAAATGTCACGAAACGTATTTTTTATCGCTCGGAATTTGAAGCTATTCTCATATGTTGCTCGGTTGATCAGTAGATGAAGTCCTTCCCTATACAACGCCTTTCGACATCATCCTCACCGTATTCTTCAAAGCTTGCCTCTTGTTGCAGAACCAAATTCTTATCACTTCTCTATCGTATCCTAATCGATGCGCTAAAGTCGTGATTTCGTTACCTACAAAAGAGAAGAATAAAAATTTTTAACGTATT